TTAAAGAAAACCTTAACAGTATTGGAAGACTTTAAGGTAGAGGCTGAAAATCTTTTAGCAGTTTGATAGCCTGGGGCCCTTACTGTCACTAAGAAAAAAAGACTTTTTTTTTTTTTTTTTTTGCCCATTCTAATTGTCATTTATGAATCAAAATTTGTAAATGAAATCTTTCTCAATTCAATTTTGTTATTACTAGTTTTGTTTCTTACTATGATCTTTCATGCTAAGAATTTTGTGTTGTTTTTTTTTTCAATTCTGGAATTTTTACCTATTTACTCCATATGATGCTTTTCTCTGATCTTTATTTTGTATTCAGGAGCTCTTATGAGATGGATTTGTGTCCTCTCTTTTTTTATATTTTTATTGAATTTTTGTGTGTTTAATACAAAACATCACAGTCATCTTTATACCCCCTCCCCCATCTGCATCTTTCCATAGCCCCACCCCTCAACTGGATTTCATGCATTCTGTCATTTCTGTTAAAAACCTATTTATTGAATCAAGTTAGTGTACTCTGACGTTCCTCAGTGCAGGATCATCCACTGGAGTCTAGTCAGCCTATCCTAGAGTCACTCTCTTAAAAAATTTCAACTCTTCTTCACCCAGCAGTAATCAGCTACCACTGGTTCCTTGGCTGAGGTTGGGGTCTGCAGCCCCTTTCTCCTTTTCTATACTGGGGTTTTGTCTGCTTGAGTTTGGATGGGTGTTGTGCGTGCTTACACCATTGCTATAGGTAAGACTGTTTCCATATGGTCTTCTCTTTTATATCCCATGCCAATGAAGAAATCTCCCATTTTTTTTATTTCTGTGTGATGAATTTAATTTCCTCATTTATATGTCTGCCAGTCTAATTATCCCTGTCTAGGTTGTTATTTACCCGTTCACTTGAATTTTTATTTATTTAGTTTCCTTTGAGACTCCATATAAATTTTTGATTATTGTTCCTTTGAGACTGGGTCTCAGTATGTAGCACCATCTTTCCTGGAAGTCTTTATGTAGACCAGGCTGGCCTTAGTCTCACAGAGATCTGCTTACCTCTGCCTCCCCGAGTGCCAGGATTAAAGGATGTGTACCACCACGCCCAGCTTGAAAATCCATATAATTTTTGCTTTGTCTTTTATTTAGTCTTACACCCACACTGCTCCCCTCCCCCTCCTCCTCTTCCCTCTTCCTTCCCATCCTCTTCTTCATCCTCCCCCTCTTTTTGCTCCTCTTCTTCTTTTGCTAATTGAAGCCTCCTTACTTAAACTATCATTTCAGTTGTATAGATTCTCAGGGGTTTAAGTTCCTTTTTATTAAAAAGAGAGGCAGGCTGGAAAGGGACTGTTCAGTGGTTGAGAGTACTGTCTGCCTTTGCAAAGTATGCACATTTGGTTCTCAGTGCCCACATGGTGACTCACAGTCATTTACAACTCCAGGTTCGGTTCCAGTAATCCAGTCATCTTCTGGCCTCTTTTGACACCAGGCATTCATGTGGTGCACACATACATGCAGGCAAAACACTTCTACACACAAAATCAAGATAAATCTTTAAACAAAAAGAAGCATCAGTTCTTGAGCAGTAATACGTTTTCTTGAATTTTAAAAAATAAATATTAGAGAAATTATTTTAAGTTTATCTGCCAAATATAATCCTACCCTCAAACTACTCTTAGTCTTTGGAATGATCATATAGCAAAAGGGATACTTATTTAAATAAGATCCACTATATCAGAGCATGCAGGAGAATCATTTCACTAAATCCTAAGGAAGGACCTTGGCAGGAAATCCCAGGAAGAGTTGTCATGAACTTTGAAATAAAATAAAAGTTAACCGGGCCAAGGGGGAACTTGAGACAGAAAAAGAGGAGGTGCATCACAAAGGTGTAACGTGCATAGTGATGGAGCCAAGAAAAATGACCTCCTGCAGGAATTTCCTATAATTTGATAGGATTGCACTGAGGGAAACAAATTGGAAAGAAAGAAGAGTTGAAGTAAGCAATGGCCTTCAAAGGCTTCCTATCAAATATATAAACTATTTTTTATCAAACATTTTAACAGACTTTAAAGCCTACTACCATGATTCCTAAATTGAACAAGACGTTCTGAGTGCTTCAGCACACTCTCAAGGCACTACCATGCATTTTAAATTTTCGAGGGAAGCACAGTGGCACCCTTCGTGGTTAGATATATCCCGTGAACTCGGTGGAGTCAGTTAAGTTTCAATATTAGAATAGTCTACATTAACATTGAAAGGGAGACCAGAAATGAAGGTTGGAGCATCTTCACTGATCTTAGAGTTTGAGAAAATGTGAAGTACCCAGCAGGCAGACACATTTCATTAGAATCTTAACTGTGATTATTAAAAATGAAATTAAAAAGTTATATTTTCTGTTTCAATTTGTGTTATCACTTCATACATGACTAAGTTGTTAAAACTCAAGTATTAATTTAGGCCTTACTGTTCACTGAGAAGAACTATTGGCTGTTTCTCTGGGCCTGTAAGGTATAAGGGGGTAGAATTACTGAAATGCTTAAGGATACCATGAACCAAGAAATTCTGAGAACTTGTGGCTTAGGTATATAACAGTAAACCAACAATTTGCTAATTTCTGTGATTTTTTAATTAACTTATAAGAATTGAAGTAAAAAAAATAGGAATTGGATTAAATTCATTTTTCATCTGAATATTGTTTGTCTCCATCTATTTAACTTTTTATTTTTGGGCATTAGTCCTTTTGGCTAGTGTTTCTAATACCTAGCTGAAGGTGAACTGGAAACTAAGATGATGTGACTCTTACTGTATCATAAATGTTGAAGGGACTAGAGATGTGTCTCAGTGGTAGAGTGCTTTCCTAGCACTGCCTGCCTGCCTGCCTGCATGCATGCTAAGATGCATGCATGAATGAATGAATGAATGAATGAATGAGCAAACAAATACTGAAAAACCTAGACAGTATTTTGGCCCATGTAGATCACCCTTTATACACAAATCAGAAACTTAAGGCCAACAGGTTTACTCTAGGAATTACTAGCTTAGGGTCAATGGAGTATAGAGTTTTTCTTTGATATCTTTTTATTTTGTCAGTATTTCAAAGGAGTTCTTAGCTTTAAAGGTGTTAGAAATAGAGGCCACTGTGATAGCTGAGTAGGTAAAGTGGCACTTTCTTGCCACCAAGCCTGATGATCTTAGTTCAACCCCCAGGTCCCACATGATGGAAGGAGAGAACCAGTTATCTCAAGTTGTCCTCTAACCTCTACATGTGTGTCATGACACCTTCCCACATATATACAGTTATACTCACAGATACATAGATACACAGACACATAGATGTATACATATACGAGAGGGAGGGAGGGAGGGAGGGAGAGAGAGAGAAAGAGAGAGAGAGAAACAGATTGGTAGAAATAGAAATCAATTACTTTTTTATATAATATACTCCCATTGGCTCACATTTTGCACTGTCATGCATATTAGCTTTTAGAGGTATAGTGGCACATGCCTTTAATCCCAGCATCCTGGAGTTAGAGGCAGGCTGATCTCTGCGTTTGTGGCCAGCCTGGTCTTCATAGAGTTCCAAGCCGGTCAGCTACATAGTGAGACCCTGTCTCCAAAACATAGTTACATGTAAAAAGATACTACATCAAAAATTTAAATAGAAAAAAAAATTAAATAGGATTTATTCAGACTTGGTTATGATGAATTCTCAGAGAGATTAAAAGCAATCTTTTAATTAATTAGTTCTATATTTCCAAAGGTGCATAAACAAGCTGCACAGTGAAATATGTCTTCTTCTTTTCCATATCTTTCACAAACTCACCCCTTCTCAAAGGTAACAATTATTTGACTTCCTGCCTTTCAGTATTTAAGAATTTTCAGACCAATGCTATTAGAATAATGGATAATTCAGTGAAAGTCACACAAGTAGCTAAAACAGTTTCAACTGTTTTAAATATAGATTGGATTTACTTAACTGATATTTCATTTTAAGAAAATTGATTATGTGGGGAATTATATTAGTTTCTGTTAAGACATAATTTAGAGATTTTCTGTTGATTAAGATTTTTGTATTGTCAACTAAATTTATCAAATAGAATAGTTAACCATGAAAAATATAAAGAGAATTCTGAATATGGTCTTCAAGCCCTATACATTGAATTCATTTTAAAATGGCCAGAAAGGTGCATTTATATTGTTTGGCAGTTTTTCAGGTGCTTTGTATAGAAGATAAAAATTACCTATAGAATTTATTAATTGTTTTATTAAGTCACTAGTGGACCAAGAATTATAGTTGAAATTTCTTTTGAATTATCAAAAATACCTGTGAAAGGCAGCTAATATACTCTTGTTCAGATTTACAGATAATTAAACTTTGTATGTAAAGATCATGACTACCCCAGAGTTCATAATTTAGGAGTGAAAATTTAACCTGGGTTGATAGTCTGTTAAAATCAATTAATACTTATACGACCATGAAATGCCTTTTTTTGTAGACATATTTTGATTTGTTTATTTATTCAGATTTTTTGAGACAGAGTTTTGCTGTGTAGCCCAAGCTGTCCTTGAACCTGCAATTCATCTGCCTCAGCTTCCTCTTGGGATTAGACCTAGCTCACTGAAATATAAGTGTATTTGTCAAATAATGTTATTTAATGAGTAGTCAGAGTATTTGAACTAATGATTCCATAAAGTTATAATGAAGGGAAATAAGTATATTCTTGCTCATTAAGGAGAAATTTAAATATAATTCAATTAATAAATAATCTGTTCATTATAGAAATGCTTATCCTTGCTGGGTATGGTGGTGCACGCCTTTAGTCCCAGCACTTGGGAGGCAGAGGCAGGTGGCTATCTCTGAGTTCTAGGCCAGCTTGGGCTACAGGGAGACCGTGTCTCAAAAAGACCAAAAAAGAAAAACAAATGCTTATCCTTAATGCTGCAGATTTTGCTGATTAATTAGCTTTCCTAGATTTCAATATTTGTATACTTGTTTGTTTACTTATTTATTTATCTTTTTATAGGGAGATTCCCGGAGTCTTCCATTTTCTGAGAATGTGGGTGCTGTTCAGAAATTAGACTTTTCAGATACAATGGTGCAACAGAAACTGGATGACATCAAGGATCGAATAAAAAGAGAAATAAGGAAAGAACTGAAAATCAAAGAAGGAGCTGAAAATCTGAGGAAAGTTACAACAGATAAAAAAAATTTGGCTTATGTAGACAACATTTTGAAAAAGTCAAATAAAAAATTAGAAGAATTACATCACAAGCTACAAGAATTAAATGCACATATCGTTGTATCAGATCCAGAAGATGTTACAGGTATTGTATTTTATTTGGTGTTTACATGGTATGCTAGCAAGATATGTATCCTTTCAGAAAACTCCCAAGTTTTATGGTATGTATAGTATCTAGCTTTTCTAGAGATAGAGACTACTTGCACATGTGGTTAAGGTCTTGTTTATATTCTGTTCAGAAGGGCAATAAGTTGATGGCTGTAAGAGCTGAAGCATTCACAGAAGAGATGAGCAGCTCTGATGCATACTCCAGTTGTCTGCTGTCAGGACAAGAGGATTATTTCCAGTATTGTTTTGTACTTAGCCACATGTTTTTACCTTAAGATTGGTACCACAAGTGTGCCAAAGGACTTTTTACAGTTAAGAATGTACTCTGTTGGCTAGAGAGTTGGCTCAGCAGTTTAGAGCACTTAACTGCAAAAGACCTAGGTTTGATTCCCGGTACCCACATGGCAGCTAACAATCGTCCTAACTTCAGTTCCAGGGGATCTGACACACTCTTCTGACCTCCTCGGGCATTGCATGACACAGGTGCACTTACACACATGCAGGCAATACACTCATACACATAAAATTAAAATAATAAATAAAATAATTTTTAAAAAAGAATGTACTGTATGGAGCTGGTGAGATGGCTTAGTAAGGGTCTTGCTGCCAAGCTGGATGACCTTTCAGTACCCGGTACCTACATGGTGGAAGGACACGTTGTCTTTTTACCTCCATGAGCCCTATCCCATCCAAATAAATAAATGCTAAAAAATATTCATTCACTGAAAATAGATACTTTTATTTCTTGCAGACGTAATTAAACAAACCTATTGTCTATGTGCCCTATGTGCTAAGAAACCAAATTAAGCACTTAAACTATCATATTGTTTAATAAGAAGAAAAAAATGAAAAAAAAACAAGCATTATTTTTCACCTTTCTGTTTATATAGAAAATAAGAGGAAAATATAACCCACGATTCCAACCTAAGAGCATTATTTTTAAAGAAAGAATCAACAGATATTGGTTAGAAATTTTTCCAAAGTGAAAATAGAAAAATCTTTCCCTTCCTCTATCCTAAAAAACCTCTTTCCTAAAGGCAGTGTTGCTTTCTGTTGTACAACTAAAAAAAAATTCTCTATTTGTGCCATTATCTAATCAGTATGTGTATTCTTTCTATCACTTTTTGTGCAAAAAATCATTTAAGGCACATTTGGTATAATGATTTTGTTACTGCAGAGATGGAATTTTGAGCAAGGTCTTTAATTATGCTATATAATCTTCCCTTATTTGCCCCTCCCCCCACCAAAACAAAACAAAAAACAAGAAATGTCTTTTATAGGGAGTAAAACATCTGGCATCATAGAGATTCTATAAGAACGTGCATGATTAGTCAGAAATAATAAGTTTTAAAATTAAAAATCTCAAAAATTATAGAAAATACTTCTGATATTTAGTACACTTAAATTAATGCATTGCTTTCAATATCTAAGACTTAGGGCTTTTATTTAGAGGCTCTATGTATAGATGCTAACCATGTACTTAATCTTTAAAATGAAGAAAATCAACCTTCTTATTGAGAACTGAAATAATCCCAAAGATATGAATTAATTTGCTCAGAATCAAGATAGTTGAAAAGAACTTTCCAACTCCTTATCTAGTACTTTCTTACCCACAAATTCAATAATTATAACTGGAAACATGTATTATGAAAATTCTGTTTTTAGTATAGTAATATTTTATAAACTCAGAGATAGTCTGTTGTGTTTGGAACTCTGCCAAGCTCTACATTTTTTGCCTATTACATCTTTAGAAGTCTAAAATAAGCAACAGCGCTAGAGCTTTAAACTCTACTTAGAGAAAGCATTTTTTTTCTTCACATAATAATAACTGCCTTGTGATTTGTTCAAATATGAAAGTTATAACAACAAAAAAGTAGCCCATTGGTTTCTCTGGTCCCTTATTGAAAATTAATTTTAGTGGAAAAAAAATTGCACATGATAAGTATTTGTGTTTGATTTACATATATGTGTATAGTTTGATTTTTTAACATATATATATATACATGTGTGTGTATATATATATATATGTATATGTATATATAAAATGTCCACGTAGCCATCATTAGACTACCCAGAATATTTCTATCACTTAAGTGATTCCCATCTGTGCTTCCTAGTCAGTCCCTACCTCTAATCTCCATTCCTGAAAACCACTAATCTGCCTTCCTTCACTTAACTTTAAGTATTAACCCTCTTTTTAAAGTTTTATTCTTTTTAAAAAGTGACATCACTTAAGTCCTGCTATCAAATTCCTGTGCTTCCTCCAAAGCCAAGTTGGATAACACCATGAAACCTTCCTTTATAGTATGTGCTTTTCCTCCCTGTGCTACTTTGTTCATTCATTGTTGTATTGTAATTTATATCTGTATTAGGATTCTCTAGAGGAACAGAACTGATAAAATGAATACACACACATCCTGTCTCTCTCTCTCTCTGTGTGTGTGTGTGTGTGTGTGTGTGTGTGTGTGTGTGTGTGTGTGTGTGTAGATTTATTAAATTGACTTATAGGATAGGGTCCAGGTAGTCCCAACAATGGCTTTGTCACACTGCATAGGCTGAGAATCACATAATTGCACTGTCCACAAGGCTGGATGTCTCAGCAGTCCCAGTCTGGCTCTGAAGGCCTGGAGGATTCCTGGAGAGCTACTGTTCTTCAGTCAACATTGGAACCCTAAAAGGTTGGTTCTAATATTGGCAAGGAATACTACAGCAACTCACCAATGAGAGAGAAGGCAAGCAGGCAAAAAGCAAAAGCTCTCTTCTGCCGTGTTCTCTTATATGGACTGCTGCTAGAAGAAGCCGCCTACATTTAAGGGTGGGTCTTCCTGCTTCAAATAATCTGATCAAGATCAAGTCCCTCACATTTTTAATATTTTATTTATTATTTTTGTTTTATGTGTATGAGTGTTATGCCTGCATGTAGGTAAGTGCACCTGTGTTGTGCAATGCCCGCAGAGGACAGAGTTGGATCCCTTGGAACTGGAGTTACAGACAGTTGTTAGCTGCCATGTGGGTGCTGGGATTCAAATCCGGGTCTTCTGCAAGAACAGTCGGTGTTCTTAACCGCTGAGCCATTTCTCCAGCCCCCAAGTCCCTCACATTTTAGTTAATTCAAGATCCAGTCAGGTTGATAACTGAGATTAGCCATCATAGTATCACTTACTAAACCTCCCTGAAGGCACAGACAAGTCTTCATACATCAGTTTTCTAGACTTATAGTCTCTGAAACATAGTAACATATAATTATGAATATCATATATTTTTTAAATCCAGCAAATCAAAATCTTAGGTTTTTTTTTCATTTATTTATTTATTTATTTATTTATTTATTTATTTATTTATTTATTTATTTATTTATTTTTGAGACAAGGTTGCCCTATAGCCCCTGCCTTTCTGGAACTCCCTGCATAGTGCAGACTGGACTCAGTCTGCCTCTGCCTCCTGAGAGCTGGGTGCCACCACACTCAGACTATTTAAAAATTACTCTTTAATTATGTGAATACATGAGAGTGAGAGTGTGGGTTTATGCACTGAGTGAAGTGCCCATAGACATCAGAAGAAGGCATCAGGTCTCTTGGAGCTGATGTTAAAAGTGATGTCAAGAAACCCACTGTGAGCACTAGGAATCAAACTCAGATCTATCTGCAAGAGCTGCAGGTGCCCTTGATTACTGAGCCTAGGTTTTTAAATTATTATCAAAGTATAACTTATGTCACCTTAAAATAATGTAGAGAACAAGCCTGAAAATAAGTTTTAGGATGAAACCAAAAACTTTCTCTACTAACCATATTTTTTAGTATTTACTTTTTAAATAATTGGAGATCAGATGTATAAAATTTTGATTTGCTTAATACTTTGGTATGCTGGAAATAAAACTTAGCATGTTCATTAAATTCTGCTTTATGTTTTTAAGTTTCTATTCACTCATGAGTACACAAGGCCCTCAGTTTGATCCTTAACACTGAAAAACAAAAATTCTCTTCACAACTTGGTATTAAATTTTGTCGTTTTCCTTTTATAACTAGGCAGCAATAAAAGCACAAAACACAAAGGATTAAAGAAGTTTAACATTAATTTTATAGCCATGTGCTCTAAAGTTTCAGATATTCTACACTGTGCATTAAAGTAAATAAAATGAATCTAGGTTTTGATTATATCTATCAAGAAGATTCAAGGACATTTCTTTGCTTTCGGTAATGGCAGATTTCTTTCTGTTGTATTAGGGATATGTAAGCATTGTGAATGACTTAAGAGAAAGGACAAAATTCAGTCTGCATTTTTGTGTGCATGTGTGTATGGTATGTGTATATGCATGTTTATGTGCATTAAGTATAGGTATGCAGATGCCATTGTGCATATATGGAGGTCAGAGGACAACCTCCTGTATCAGTCTTTACCTTCCACCTTGTTTGAGAGAGTCTCTTCTTGTTAACCACTGTGTATACAAGGCTATAGGAGCACTAGGATTGCAAGTATGTGCACTACCATATCTGGCTTTTTTGTGGATTCTCGGGAACAGAACTCTGGTTATCAGGCTTGTGCAGCGTGTGTACTGAGCCATTTCCTCAGTCTGGAGGCTAGGTCTTATTCTAATTCTTTTTTTTATGATTTATTTTTATTTATTAATTTCTTTGGTCTTTTTGAGACAGAGTCTCCCTGTAGCCCCAGCTGGCTTGGGAGCCACCTGCCTCTGCCTCCCAAGTGCTGGGACTAAAGATGTGGTCTACCACACCCAGCGTGATTTATTTTTATGTTGTATGAGTTTTTACCTTTGTGTATGTGAATGCATGATGTACATGCAGTGCCCTCCAAGACCAGAAGAGGGTGTTGGATTCCCTGGATCTGGAGTTAGCCACCATATGGGTGCTGGGAAATAAATAGTAGCCAGTGCTTTTAGCTGCTTAGACACCTCTCTGCCCCCTGAAATAATTGTTAATCATTGGCTTCTTGTTTGTACAGTAAGAATTTTTGTCAGGT